ATAAGGCATCTATGACCTCCAAGGACAGATTTCCACTTGGATGCAAAAATGAGCTTTCTGCTTTCCTCACCCTAGGAATATCTCAAAACAGCCTCACGGCAAACCACTCTGAGCCACTGTCCCCTCACAGTTGTCCGAACATGGGAGGACTCTTCTGCTGACAGTCCACAATATTCGCCTTTGCTGAATTGTCATGTAAACTGAGACCCTCCTGTCAGAGAACAAAGGTGAAGCTGAATTCTCTCCCACTACGCTTCTTCCTGCAGCCCCGCAGCCCGCCCACCTTCCAGGAAAAGATGGCTGCTTCACCATAGCTTCAGGGTCTCCATGGCAACAACTACTAAACAAAGCATCTAGAGGGGCTGGACTTTTTCCTTGAGACACAGAAAGGGAAAGAGGCAGACTTGGCAATGCTACACTCAGCACCTCCCCTGACAAAGATGATGTTCCCAGCTCAGAGAGGGCAAGGGACACTGTAGCTTACCTGTCAGCTGACAACAGGGCTACGTAAGAGCTTCCTCTTCTTTTTAAAATTGCATTTTGTGACTGAACAAACAAATAAACACCAAACACGGTGACAGTAATAATGAAAACAGCGAAGGCTCTTGTGACACCTTAAGGACTAGTGATTTTATTATGGCTTAAATTTTCATGGAATACATCATCAGATGCATGCAGTGAGGTCCTCAGTTCAGGTATATACATGGTTCAGCTGGGCTGGAGCGGGGGGGTGTAAACACTGAGGTCAGGGGGAAATAAAAGACAGGAAAGTACAGACTGTGAAAATTACATAATTCCCAAAAAAACAGGCATCCTGGAACTGGTAAGCCAATTAACACATATAATGTGCAAAAAAAGAGCATTTGTCTCAGTTCAGTCCACAAGTGCTCACACTGAACCTCTTCATGTATTGCAATTCAGCCCTTTCACATTATGTATCTGACAACTAAGGCTTTTGTCTAACGCAACACCAAATAACCATCCCATCAGTGCAAGGGTGTCCACTTGTGCAACGAGATTCCCAGCCCCTTCCTCTTGCACACCCCTTAAATTTGTTCCAGGGGTTCCCAAAATCCTCCAGAGCCAACTTGAAGAAGGCAAAAGGCATGCATAGCGAGAGGAGAAAAAGTCCCGTGGCACAAATGGAAATCATTGGACCAACAGAACCGTTACTTAATGCTGCACTGGATAATACAAAAGGATCTCACTCCATGCATCTGAAGAAGTGAACTGTAGTCCACAAAAGCTGCTGACATAATATATTTGTTGTTTTTGCTGCAAGAGACCAACACAGCTACCCCTCTAGAAACAATACTGAAAATACAAAACAACATACGTTATTTGTATCAATTACTGCAATACCCAATGTTCTTTCTTCTTTGCAGTATGCTTGTTAGTCCAGTTATTTGACTATTCTCATGCTGCTGCTTCCATTGAGGAGAATGGGTCAGTCCTGGGAAGCTGGGGGTTGAAGTGTATAGAATAGTGACCTAGCAAAGGGTGGTGTTGTGATTTAGTGTGTTGGAATTTGGCTGGGAGACCTGGTTTCATACCTCCAATCAGCCATGTGGCATGTCTGCAATCCTATGCACAGTGAACCTGGAATAAGCACCACTGAACACTTCTAGTTGCACAAGTTAAATTTGTACACTGAGCTGTAACAAAAGGTCTGCAGCTGGCTCAAATACAGCCTTTGGCTTTCAATTAGAAATGCAAACAAGCTTTCAGAGAAAAAATTTAACTGCTAGCATGAAGTAGGAAAGAAGTATGCAGCATCTGTCTGATTATTTTCATCATTCTTCAACTTCCTCTATGACAGAGCCTATGCTAAACTGTCACAAACAACAGCAAAACTTGAAAGCCTCATTATCACCTCAGTTGCTTCCCAGAGCCAGGAGGACCCTGGCAGATGGCAGCATGACTCCTGCTCTGAGAAAAGTCCCAGAGCTGCACATTCTTGCCCGTCTCTTGCCTGCATTCCCACTACACTACACCATGAACTATTACTTCTCTTCCATTATAAGCATAGCGGTCAACTTTTCCCTTTTCTTGCAAGGAATCCTATTCGGAATAAGGGAATTTCCCTTAAAAAAGGGGAAACGTTGACAGCTATGATTATAAGCATTGTTTTAAGAAGCTAGTTGTCATCTTCAAGAATAAGAGGGGGGGAAAGAGACAAGGTGATGTCTTTCGCCAGACTGACTTCTGGCAGCAAACTTTCTTTGCTATCAAGCGGAATGAACAGGTTGCTGGTCCTCAGCTTAAGTAAAATAACACATCAAATATTTAAGCTACAAAAACACAGCAGCCTAGTCACAAGTTATTTAACACTTCAGATCCAATGCACAGTATTATGTGTCTAAGAGTGCAATCCTATGTATGTTATCTTGAAAGCAAGGCTAGCTGTGTTTAATGGGACTTATTCTAACTCAGTGATGTCGCTCTGAAGACTAATGAGGATCATTGAATTGCCACTCTTAACTACTTTGTCTCAAGTCATTACACCCTGCCTAGGACTGTGAAAGCTTCAGCTCTATAAATGAGGGGTGACTACTCTATCAGACACAGAGCTATTGTTGGACTCCAATTCCCATCATTCCTGACAACTGGCAATGCTGGCTGGGGCTGATGAGATTTGGAGTCCAACAATATATGGAGGGTCACTGGCTCTCCACTACAAACTTAAGGAACATTTCCTATTTGATAAATGCAAGGAATCCAATTCAAAAACATATCCATGAGATCAGAGACAAATGGGAGAAAATGAAGAGAGGCAAAGTGATGACAGCAAGTCAAAGGCAATTGGCTCCTTAAAACCTTGATGCAAAACAGAAGACAGCAATGTGTTTGATGGAATTAATGCATTTAGAACTTACTGGGAGCTCTTAATTCACACCAGCGTTTATCTTAGTGCTATTCAGATGCACCAGAAGTATTTTCTGAGCCCATCTGACAAGTATGAGCCACTGAAAGTATCTCATGACTAGTAGCCATTGATATGAATGTGTCTAATCCTCTTTTAAAGCTGTCCAAGTTGGGGGCCATCACTCCACCTTCTGGAGCAAATAGCATAGTTTAATTCTGTGCTGGGGGGGAGGTTTCCTTTTGTTTGCCCTGGATTTTCCAACTTTCAGTATCACTAGATGCCCCTGGGTCCTAGTATTATGACAGAGACAGAGAGATCTATTTTCTTTACATCATGTATAATTTTAAACACCTCTATCATGTCCCTCCTTGCTCAGTCTTTTTCTAAAACTTCACTTGCCCAGAGGAAGGGTAGCAAACATGGTGCTGAAACACAACTTCCATCAGCCTCAACCAAATGGCCAATGATCAGAGATGATGGCAGTTGTAGTTCCCCATCCCTGTTCAAGGTGATGGGTCCCACGCATTCATACTTTATGTTCCATGATACTCCTCACTATTTACCGGTAAGTTGCTGCAACAAACCTCGGAAATGTATCAGAGTTAGAACTAGCTAAAAATTGCCATTTAATTTATTTTTATGCAATTGCTGATCTGCCTTGAATCAATTAATAAATATCTTGAATTCCAAACCTGAAATGGATGAAAGAGCTTTGCCTGCGCACAGTCTCCCCTGTGGGCTGGCTGCTCACACCTAAGGTACTTGGTTACTAGAAGGGAGCAGAGCCCTTAAAGATCTGAATCCCCTTGTGTACTGAGCTAAAAATACATGGATGGAGGTAGCTCTGTTCATGAGTAAACAACACAATGTCCTGACTCACTAGGGCATATGTTCCCTCCACAACATAAGCATCAAAGCACCACACATTTTGAGATATTCAAGCTCATATTCTATAGGGTGTGTCAAGCAGCACACAACTGATAAATTTATTTCACAGAAACAGAGATGACGGGAGCCAAAAGGCCACAGACCCCAAAGGTCCTGCCCCCAAAGTAAAGTTCCCCCACCTACGTACCTGCATCTGCAAGATGGGCAATGCAATTGAGAACATAGTATGTCACAAGCAAAGGGCAGGTACACAGTGGGAAAGGTGCCCGCAGAGCGTTTTGTAAGCTACTCGTTCGTAATTCATGACTTCCCAATGCAAAGGACTCAAAGACATTAAAGGCTGCGTTGAAGTGAAAGTTCTGCATTACAAATTCAAACGCGGTGAATTAATTGCACATTAACAAATTAATGAGTTATAGATTCTTGAATGATTAACTGTGAATTATTTGAGTCATGAGAGTTGTTCACAGCAGAGTTCATTTACTCAAAGGAAACTGAACCTTCTTAAAAGCACTCTGCTATATTTTTCTTTAAAAAGGGAAATCCTGGTTTTGTTTCAAACACTTGGTTTACTCCAGCTCCTGCGATGGCATGGGGTTGTTTCCAACTATGTCTTACTCAACACAGACCCTTTGAAATTGATGGGCCTATATTCGTCATGTGCATTTATTTCAATAATTAATACTCTCAGTATCCTGAGAACAACTAAAATTGGATAGAACCACAAGCTCCGAAGTTGCCAACATCACCAGTGACACAGCTCTCCCCTTAAAAAAACAGATTATGAATCTAAGCAATCCATTTCCCTAAATCCGAAGTAGGACCATAGATAGCTCAGGTGGTAGAGCATGGGACTCCTAATCTCAGGGTTGTGGGTTCGAGCCCCAAACTGGGTGGAATATTCCTGCATTGCAGGGGGTTGGACTAGATGACCCTTGGGGTCCCTTCCAACTCTAAAGGTGACCCTGGGACACATTTTGCAGCCCAAGGGTCACATTCCCTCATGGGCAAGCTTCCTGGGGCTCCAAGGGCAAAAGTGGGCAGGGCAACAGAGACTACCCTTACCTTCTTCTTTTTTTACCTTTTTACATTCCAGACATACAACAAATCAGGAGGCTTCTTCACACATACACACAGAGAGAGGAAGATGCTTTATGCTACATGAGACCATTGGTTCACCTTTCTCAGTACTGTCTACACTGCTAGCAATGGCTCTCCAGGCAGAGAGTCTTCTCCCAGCCCTACCTGGGGATGTCAGGGATGGAACTTGGGACCTTCTGAATGCAAGACAGATGCCCTACCACTGAGCTACAGCGGTTCCCCACACCTCTGTCCAGACAAGCAAGAGGCATTGCCACTAATCTAGGAAACGTTCTGGATAGGCAGAAGCTCTTGAGGAGGATATAGGATTGGGATGCCTATGGTGAATCCCAAGTGCCAGATAGGCTGGCAGGAGGCAATAGTCAAGCCTCTGGGCCTGAGGTTCCCCACCCTTGCCAACACTAAGTTGAACCCACCCACCCCGGCCATCACATGGCAGCTGAACCTAAATGCATATCGGATGCTGTCAGGGGCGAGAGACAAAGGTGAGGGCAACCAAGGAAAGTGGAGGATGATGAGCCACCGCTACATCCCTCCATTGTCTCATGACATCCTAGATGCTTATCGGGCTAGCTCCCCATCTGTGCAGGATGCCAGCTAGACTAGGAAGAGGACAAGAGCCTCAGCACCATATCTGCAGGGGAAAAAATCATAGAATTGTAGAGTATGGCATGAAAATCAGTATCCAGAACAGATACCCATTTATCTGGTACGTGATATACAAATTCTGCCAAGATTAGAGAATGCAAGCCAAAATTCTTTTCAGTGGCATTTGGCTCGTGTTTTGGAAAGTCACTTTCAAAGAATCATAAATATGGTTCTGCTCATCCACACCTACTCAAGCTTTCTAGGCACAGGTATGCGTTTTCCCAGTCAGGGTCCGGGCACTTTTTTAAAAATAAAAAATGCCACAGGAAAACCTATTCTTTAATACTGAATCGGTACAAACGGTAATTCAGGTTTCCTGCAGACTGCCATTTGCTCCGATTTAGAGGTAAAGAGCAGGTTTTCGTGGAGAAAGCGCTGGGGGTAAAAAAAAAAAAAAGCACTCAGAGAAGGAGTGTTAAAATGCAGACCTGTGCCTACAAATGAGGAGCAAAGGTAAGTGTCTATGAGCCATTAGGGCTCATTCATACTTCTAATTGTCCTGTGCTTAGAAAGCATGGGTCAAAGCGGTTTCTCCTCTGCCCTGCTCCTTTCCCAGGAAAAAGTTGCTCTTTAGCTCTAAACTGAAACAAACAGTAATCCGCAAGAAACCCAAATTGCCATTTGCTCTGATTGAGCGCTAAAGAGTGGTTTTCCCCAGGGTAAAGCAGCAGGACAAGAGGAAGTGTGGAAGAGATTTGTGGGGGGGGGGTCAAACCAGGAACATTTGGTTCTTTGTGCAGAAGCCCTGCATGGTGAGCTATCAGAACTGTGGAATCGGAAAACTTTACAGGCAGTGAAATATTCTCAGGCTGTGGCCAGATCTCAGTTATCCAAACTGGTAAACGGGTTCTCCTGGACAGGAGCTTCCTTCTCTGGACTGAGGCATTTCCTGAGCCACAAAATCTTCCTGGCTCTGATACACCACTCAGCTCTGATTTCCTGGTTTAGGGTCCCTCCCAATGTCCTTTTGACTGTGAAGTCATTGTAATCTATGGTCATGAAGGTATCAAGGCCTCACTTTCAATACTGTTTGCACCTGCAAAAGTTTCAGGACAGTCATGCTGCTTTGTTACCAGTCAGTGGACATCCTGTAACTTCCCGCTGAAATCCTTAAGCTTTTTATATTTTTTGTCCCACTTTTGTTGCCTGGCGTGCTCCAGTCCATGGGGCACGAAGAGTCGGACACGACTAAAAACAACAACAACAAAGTGCAAGAGTGCCCCCTTCCCCAGACATCAATAATGGAATAGTATTGGTGAAGCATCACAGAACTAACTAGAGTGATGTGTGGGCAGTCCAGTATAAATCCCCTCACTAATGCACAATTTTTACATCAATGAACACCCCCACGAGAGCTTCAAAGCACAGACCTATGCCTAGAAATGAGCAGAAAAAGGAAGTATGTGTGGATGAGCTTTTAGGGCACATTCACCCACTCACAAAAAACACCAGTCTGAAGGAGCCTTTAGGCACTCGGCTCTTAGCTCACCTCTGATAGCTCCCTTACTACTGCCGCCACCTCTCTCTCTCTCTCTCACACACACACACACACACACTATACCTTTAAATCAACCTGCAGGACCCCCTTTTTTGCTCCCCATCCTCTTGATACTGCAAAGGACCATGAATATCTGCAAACAGCGGGCTCAGGAGTGCTGTTCTTGTAACAGCTAAAGGGCTCTCGAGGAGCTGGAGAATGCGTGCCTCAAATACTCGAGACAGGAGTGGCTGATAATCCCTTCTCTTTCGACGGGAAACTTTTGTGCCCCTTACGCTCTGCCTTGTTCAAGCTGCCAGGAGAAAATGAACCGAAACACAGAGGATTAGAGGGGTGAGAGGTGTGAGGGAAGAGAGCTCAGGAGCTGTACTTCTGAGGGAGGGTGGGAATATATACAGGAAGCCCAAGGCCAAAGTGTCAATGTAGCTGCGATGTGGGTTTGGGTGGCATCCGCCCAAGAGACCCCCAGCCATCTGCCTGGCTGCAGTCAAAGCTCCAGCAGAAAATCTACATGTGGTTTCCCCACATTGTTTGGTGAAGGGTAGTAGCTGCCATGGCAACGGCTGGAGCCCAGCTTGCCTGTCAGGCATGAAGGAAAAGCCATGCTCTTTGGCAGAGGTCCTGGGCGATGCTTTCCTTCAGCAGAGAGACCTTCAGCTGCCCACCTAAAACACATTCCAAGCCAGGAGAAGAGGCTCTCCAGCAGCTCTTGGGCCTTAGCTGAGATTCTAGCAACCTTGTTCTCTCTTTTCCGGTTCGTTTCTGCCAAAAGGCTGCACCTTGTTGGAAGAAGGAAAGCCTTTCACGCCAAACTTACAGCTAAGTAAAGGAAGAATCAGAGAGATGGTTGGAGGGTGGTTGTGGTGGACAGGAGTCAATACCAGGATAGTGGAAAAATGAGGGGGGAATTCGACATCACACTAAGGCGATAGTTCTGCTATTGTAAGTATTTCTGCTTGCTGGGTGGAACCAACTCCCAGCTCTTCCCACCAATCTGTTGTGAGAGTTTTCCTGACCCTCCACAGCAGATCTGGGGGAGGATAGAGAAGGAGCTAGCTGCTGTGCAGCCAGGGGTGGGGCTAGCCACCCACGGGGGCAGGGTGAGCGGCGAGCGTCCCAGGGGGGCAGGGCAGCGATGTCACACACACACCCCAGGGATGACACCCAGGGCGGACCGCACCCACCACACACCCCTTCCTCCCCCAGTGACTCCACTGTGCTAGCAGAAGTCCTTCATGAGTTGAATCCAGCCCAAAAGTCCCAGAATGTTGTCCTAACACATTCAAGATATTCTATCTATTATGTTTGTAATCTATCAATCACCTCATCACAGCATACATAGGGCACCAATTCCAGTCCTTCCATCAAGCCCATGGCAATCCTGAATGGCTTCCCCCAGTTGCCATCTGGCCTCCTGAATCCAGATCAGCGTCACTGATGAGATGCACTATGTTCTGAGAGCAACCCTCTTCTTCCTTACCCCTATAACTCTGAAGGGGAGGTCTGGAGCTGCCCAGAAAACATAGGCCTCACATACGGGACCAAAGATAGATGAGCCCTAGAGCCCATGCCACAACTGACTGAGAGCCTTCCCTATTCATGTTCCATGACTCTGGTGTGCTGCTGGACTCTTTCCGACACCGAGAAAACTGCATGCCACTAAGGCACTGTTGATAAGCCAGCTTCCCCAGATGCTACCCTGTAATTGTCTGGAGAAACTGTGGGAAAATCAAGGGGATTTGCTACTGGGTGCGGGGGAGGCAGAATCCCATTAGAAGAGCAAAGCATGAAATCCAGGGAGATAGAGGGTTGCAGAATTTGCAAGATGTGTCCCGGCACAGACATGGGTTAATTAGGGATCTAGGTTCAAAGGGAGTCAGCAGAAGCAATTAAGATTAGTCCACAAATGGGGTCTGTACAAGCAAAAATGGCAGAAGCACATACATGGGGAGACAAATCTGTCTGAGCGATCTTTCAGATGGCAAAACAACAGCCATGGCTCAGAGGGCGGAGAATAGTTTTTGATTACTTAGGAAGATTGAAATAATCAATACACAACAACAATTCTGTGCCACAAGAGCAATTCTGTGTGATTGCTGCAAAGGAAAACATTTGGAGAGGTGGGGCTTCTTCCAACAGTGCAGGGCTGGTGGGAAGAAATTACACACTGCAAAAATCCCCCGATTAAGAGTATGCAGGAGGCCCATCATGTACAATTCTATTGCCTTGCAAGTCCAGCTCTCTGGCCCCATGCACACCCACACCCTTCCTACATTCATCCAACACTGAAGGCATACGTGGGGTGCCTGGAATCCTAAACTGGCATCACTGTCAGTCTTTGGTGACTTTCCAGGCATCAGTGTTTGGATAACATTATCTCAAAGCCCTTTTTATTTTATTTTTAAGCAGGGTTGGAGAAGAGGTAAGCTACTGAAACTTGCCAAAACTACCCACAGGAAATCAGTGGCAGAGTTCTTCTTCTGGTGAGAATTGAGGAGCTTTGCTTTCCATTAGCCTTGTTCTTCTGCAGCCCTTGCCCTTGCCAAAACCTGCCCTCCAGTTCTTTGAAAGTTTTCTTCTCCTGCTTAAGAGGCTTCCGTTCTGCCTCACTCTCAGGTCACTTGAGAATGTCTTTAGAATTTCAGTGGCTGCAGGGTTTTCAGCTTAATATATTGTTGCACCAAACATTTCTCTCCTTTCTGTTAATTTGCAAACGCATTTCCTTTTCTCAATAACTGATGTAGAATTTTTTTTATTAAAAAAAATGGGACAAATTTTCAATAGAGCATTAACTAAGGAGTTCCTAGAAAGCTATAGGGATGGAATGGGTAAGAGTGAAATGGCAGGAAGTTATTAGGTACATGGCAAACACAGCAATGGGTGGGAAGCCGGCTTTATTTGCACAAACCATTGACTGGCAGGATCTTGCCACTGTGCAAATTGAACTGGAGCAACTTATTTGCTGTGGAATCATTTGACTCCATGAAGCAAAGAAGCTGGGCAGAGGGAAGCTGCCTCACTGGCAACTCCTGGGTGACAAAGAGTGGGGCAGCCCCAATGGAACGGTACTGTCTGA